GATAAGTCAAAGGTCCTGCTCTACCATTGTTGGCTTCTCTTGGAAGCATGGAGGAAATGATTCCTCCGTGTTGACCCTCCTCTTTATAGACTGGACACTGGCTCAAGTCCATCTGCTGGGGTCTCCTCAGCTTCCTTGATCAAGAGGCCAGATGACCCAGGCTTTGGTACTTTTTACCAAAATCCCTCTTTGATCTGTGGGCTTTTCTTTAGACTGTTAGTGTAATAACTTTTAAAAAGTTTTGTGAATGTTTCTGAAGGATTATTGAGTCTGAAGTAGTTTTAGAAATTTATAGTTGGTTTTAAAAGTGGGGTCAAAGCTGAGTATAGTAGCATACACCTTTAATTCCCGTGCTCTGGGGACACAGGCAGGTGAGTCTCTTTGAGACTGAGGTCAGCCTGTGTACATAGTTCGAAGCCAGCTAGGGCTACAGTAGACCCTGTCTCAAAAAAACACACGTGGTGGAAGGAAAGAACTGACTCATTCACGTTGTCCTCTGACCTCTTGTGCCAACAGCAACCACCACCACTGCACACATAATTGAGTAAATGAGTGTTTTATATTAAAAAGCCTGTAACACACCCTCTCCTCTCCCTTTTCCTTCTCTTTCTTTCTTGTCTCCACCTCTCCTCATTCTCTCTTTTTCTTTTCAAATTGCATCATGTAAGTATGTTTACAGGCTGATAGTGGACAGCTGGAGAGGCTGAAAAGGCAGAAGCAAGGGAGTGATTAACTGACAGTACAGGGTGTTGGAATATAGGAATAAGGAGGCACAGTTGGAAGGACAAGCTTCAGTAGACAGCATCTTGTTGGTTCCTTAAAGAGATGTCTAGAAGTAGATAAACAAAGGTGTGTGAAGGAGGAGGAGATGATTTGGTAGTTGAAGGGACTTGATAACTTTTATTTTTTATTTATTTATGTTAAATATTTACTATTTTTATTTTATGTGTATGAGTATATTGCCTACATGTGTGTAAGTGCACTCATGTCATGCAGTGCCTTCAAAGGCCAGAAGAGGGCGTCAGACCCCTGGAACTGCTATTATAGATGGTTAGCTGCCATGTGGGTGCTGGGAACTGAATGTGGTCCTCTGCCAGAGCAGCCAGTGCTCTTAACCACTGAGCTATCTCTCCAGCCCCAGTAGCTAGCTTTTATTTTTAACTAAAGTGTGAATGTGAAGGGTGGAAAGGTGGTAAAGATTTTGTAGTATTTGACCAAAGATAAGTAAAAGAATTGATGATTAGTTTTGCGAGCTCAAGAATAGATTTAATAAATTTCTAGTTGTCTAATTCTTTTGGTCTATATTTTTCTTCACCTCATTTTCTGTATGAAATGTTGATTTAAATTATGGTATTGGCTTGAGGATAAACCTTAGAAATGGAGTGTGTGGTTCTCATGCACAGGGCCCTGGGTTCAACTCCTATCATGATATATGTATGTACAGATGCACACATATACACACAAGTTCTGGTATTGTTAAGATTGGGCATTTGCAGGAATGGTGCTGCTGAATTGTGCTGGTAGGGGCATGGGAGCGGAGAATCAGTGAGAAGGCTTGTCGTCTGTGAGGAATAGGAATGATTTTGGTCAGAAAGAAACCCATGAGACTAACATGGAGGGATGGAGTGCTAAATGCTTCGATGAGGTAAAAGAACAGGCAGGACAGGAAGTTTTAGACAGAGCTTGAAGCTTACAGTTTCAGAAATGGAGCCAGAGTAAATGATAGCAGGGTCTAACTTACACCCCTGGAATGGCTTATTGGAGTAGGCTGAGCACAGTTGTTTGTAGAGTGAATTAACAATTGTGTGCACATTATATGGGTTGTGCTTTGAAATGGCCCAGGGTAGTGACAAGTTTGCCTTGTGGAGGCAGAGAGACCTCAGGACTTAATACCTATCAAGTGTTGAGAGGGAGAATGAAGTGGATTTGGGCAGGAAAGTTTGAGGGTACATAGCTTGAATAACATATCTCTCAAAGAGAAGGGGAGAGGTGGAGTCCAGGCTTACCTTGAACTTCTGATCTTCTGAGTGCAGGGAATACGGACTTGGGCCACTACCCACAGCTTCCCAGCTTTCAGTCCTTATGGCTACATACATGGAAGTGGAGAGCAGCTGTCAGGCTCTTGCTCTCTACTCCAGGCAAGTGAGCTCCTCCTGCCTCTCTGGAGTCCTGTGATTACAGCCCACTGTCACCACCCCTGGATTGGGCTTACACTTCTGAGGAACTATGATTAGAAGGTCCGCATCAGGTGCTCCCTGACTCCTTTGCCCAGCCCCTAAGATGCCAGGCTCATGTCTGACAAGACGCGTTCTTCATATTTCCCCTCTTTGCCTGCTCAGCCCCAGGTCTAGCAAGTCTTTACTTCCTTAGCATCCAGGTTCCTAGCTCCCTGCTACTGCACACAGGTCACATTACCACGCATGACACCCATCTAATCTGTGCGCCTGCAGGTCCTAACTTATAACTCAGGTTCAATGCAAGTGGGGCAGTATGTGGAGTCAGTTCTCTCGGTCTACCACAGGGGTCTGGGGATGGAACTCAGGTCTTCAGGCTTGGCAGCAAATGCCGTTAGCCACTGAACCATCTCACCAGCCAAAGGTGGGTTCTTTCTCTATGTGGTCCAGGCTACACAAAGGAAGGAGACACTGGAAACCTCCAGCCATGTTAACAGCCATCTCTGTCCTCATCCTCATACTGTCGTGTGTGATGAAGGGTTACAAATGCAGTCAGTTTACCAAGATGGTTACCATTTTCTCTTTCTTTTAAAAACATTACATTTTGGGGCTGGAGAGATGGCTCAGTGGTTAAGATCGCTGACTGCTCTTGCAGAGGACCTGGGTTTGATTCCTAGCACCCACATGGCAGCTATGAACCATCCTTAACTCCAGTTCTAGAGGAATCAGAAGCCCTCTTCTGACCTCCACGGCATTGCACGACATGGGTGCACTCACATACATGTAGGCAATGCACTCATACACCTAAAATAAAAATCATAATTAAAAAAAATAAGTATTTTAAAAAATTACATTTTTTATTTACTTTGTGCATGAACATACACAGAGTAAAAATAAATTGTGTGTGTGTGTGTGCGTGTGTGTGTGTGTGTGCGTGCACGCGTGCATGCCACAGTGCACATGTGGACATCAGTGGACAACTTCTACGAGCACTTTTCTCCTTCCAGAGTAGCTTCTGGTGATTGAATTCTTTGTCTTCAGACTTGCACCATCAAGCTTTTTACTGACTAAGCCTCAGGAGATTCCGTTCTTTTCATATTCAAAAATTCCAGAGCTTGCCAGGCCTAGTGGCACAAGCCTTTAATCCCAGCACTCCGGAGGCAGAGGCACGTGGATCTCTGAGATCAAGGCTCATCTGGTCTATGTTGTGAGTTCCAGGCCAGCTGGGGTATGGGGAGACCCCCAACTACACAGAAAAACCCAAACCCAAAACCAGATCTTCTAGAGCTGGGAGTGGTGGTTCATGCTTGTAGTCCCAGCACTCAGGAGGCTGTGGCAGGAAGATTGCCACGAGTTGCCTGAAGCTGTGCAAAGGTGGAGGGTGAGAAGGACTCCACAGAGTTGTCCCCTGTCCTCAGCTCCTGCTACATGGCATGCACAATAATAAAAGAGGGGAGTTTTTTCAAAAGTGAGTGGAGTAGAGTCTAGAAGCAGTAAAGGGGGCACAAGGAGAATACAGACTTGTCACCCAGTTGTGTGCGGAGTGTTGGAGAGTCATACTCATCTGGGTATCACAGAGCAAGTAATACTCTAGCAGAACACATTAGTCTTCGTATTACTAATGGCTAGATGTGCACAAGACTATGGAACTGGTTTTTGAGACAAAAGCATGAGGACTTCAGAGAGCCCCATGGAGCTGATTGGAAAGGAAGCCAGAAGCACGGTGGTAGACTGAGGGGTGGAACTGTAGAGGGAAGAAGGTGAAGTTGGTGAGATGCTAGATGATGTAGGGGTCAGTGTCCTGTCAAGGACTGAGGACTGCAGGGGACAGGAAGCACCACTGAAATAAGCTGGCTTTAGCATTATCTGCCTCACAGCCAGCTTCTGTGGGGCCAAGTGGTCCGCACTTGGGTTATTGAGACACTTGCTTCAAAGCTCACTATGGTGGAGCGCCTGTGAAACACACACACGGCGATGGTGTCCAAACAATGTTTGCATAATTTTGAATGGGAGAAAAACACATTATAAGTAGGAAAGTTACCTAAATATAAAGCATTTAAAGTAATTAAAAAGCATACAACCTGACAATTTTAAACTAGTAAAAAAGAAAAATATTTTTGGTGCATGTGTATGTGCTAATGAGTCCACCAGGTGTCACTGTGCGTTCATATTTAGCTGCATGAACCAATAGCTACAGAAACTGGTTTGTGGGGTTGGTTGGAGCCCTGTGGGTCTTTTCCCGGAGTACGTTTCTTCCTCTAATGAATTTTTATCATATTTTTCCCATTTATTTTTAGGTACAGCTATTTATCACCACTGCAGATAAAGCAAATGCCCATCCCTAAGCTGGCTGCTCCAGACTGCCTGGTTGTCACCTGGGTGACCAATAGACAGAAGCACCTGCGTTTTGTTAAGGAGGAGCTTTATCCTTCCTGGTCTGTAGAGACACTTGCTGAATGGCACTGGGTCAAAGTGAGTTCAGAAGTTCGCTCTTTGTTAATGTGGTGTCATGGTACAGCTCGCAGGAAGATAGTGACTGCTTTAATGCTTACATGCCAGCCTTCAGTAGGGCCTGGGGAGAGCTTTCTGCCTTGTACCCAGACACCTTTGTCCTCTTATTCTCAAGACTTTTCTGTGGCTCCTGTGTCTTTTGTGGTAAGGTCCCAAACTGCTGGTCTCAGGAAATCAGAGATAGCAGGGTTAAGTGATAACAATCCTGATGTTTCTAGTTTACTAAGTTGGTTTTTGTTTTGCGTTTATTTGTGTGTCTGTGTGTCTGTGTATCTGCACATGCACCACAGCACACATGGTGGTCAGAGGACAGCTTTCAGGAGTCAGTCTCTCTACCATATTGGTTCTGGGGCTCAAACTCCAATTATCAGTCTTGGTGGCAAGCTGCCTCTATGCCCTTAAAATTTTTTATTTTTTTCACTTTATCTATCTATCTATCTATCTATCTATCTATCTATCTATCTATCTATCATCTATCTATATCTATCTATCTATCATCTATCATCTATCTATCATCTATTTTCTGTCTATCTATCATCTATCTATCTATCTAATCTATCATCTATTATCTGTCTATCATCTATCTAATCTATCTATCTATCATCTATCTTCTATCATCTATCTATCATCTATCTATATCTATCTATCTATCTATCTATCATCTATCTTCTATCTATCATCTTATCTATATCATCTGTCTATCATCTATCTAATCTGTCTGTCTTTCTGTCTTTCTATTTATCTATCATCTCTCTTTGTGTGTGATATCTTTAGTTTAAAGAACAAAAATCTGGCCATCATTAGACACAGAAGTAAATAATACTTCCCTTCTGTTATATTTTCTATACACCCATAATTCAGCTATCCTTGATTACTTGTCTCCTTTTGTTTATGGGGATGAAGGCAGAGAACAGTAAAGCCACTGTAGAGAGCATGAGAAGATGCTGGAACCAAGAATAACCTCCTCTCCCCGCTCCTGCTCCCCCTCCTTCCTTCCCTTCCTTCCCATCCTCCTTCTTTATGTACACTCATGTATTCTAGGCTGGCCTCATGCTTGTTGTGTAGCTGAGGATGACCTTGAACTTCTGATCCCGTGTGCCACCATGCTCAGCTACCTTATATTCTCTTAAGCTTTATTTTACAAGGTTTTTGGAGGTAGAATCCTGTTAAATTGTTCAGGATCATCTAAAACTTGCCATTTTCCTGCTTCAGTCTCCCAAGCTGCTGGGATTAGAGGTATGAGTCACCAGGCCCAGCCTCTAGCTTCTAAATCTTAATTTAGGTCCTCAGTGCCTATGTGCTGCTCATACTGTTTTTGAATGAAATTATTTCTATTCTCGGCTTGGTTGAATGATCTTTACTATCTCTGTTTGATGTAAGAGTACAAAAGTGCAGAAAAAATAAGGGTTTAGTTTAGAGATAATTGGACAGCTTTTAAAAGATAGATTGACTATTCAGATGATATCTATAATATATCCCTTCTTTGAAAAATATAATTGGTTCAATGTTTAATGTTATCGGTAGTATCTTTATTTTAGATACAGTAGAGTTAGATTTTAATGTGCTTTTATGCACTTTGTAATCTACTGGAGTATTTGCTGGTGTGTAAACAATGCTATGTATGAGAAGGTTGGTATATGACCTCAGAGCTCCTGATTGTTGATTGGGTTGTTTTGGTATCTTGTGTTCCATAGACAATAGATAAAAATATTCTAACAGTGAAAAACTATTTTTATCTTCATTGTAGATAAGTGGACAAGAATAGTAAGTAAATACTAAGTAAATACGTTTGAGATAAGATCTGCTATGAAGCCCAGTTTGACCTTGAACTCACCATAGTCCTCCTTTCTCAGTCTCCAGAGTACTGGAATTATTGGAGTGTGCTACCATGCAGACTGTCAATTACATTTCTTTTCTTTGTTTTTAATTTTTCCGATTTATTTTTATGTGTATGGGTGTTTTGCCTGCATATATGTAAGTGCACCCATTTGTGCAATGCCTGCAAAGAACAGAAGAGGGCATCAGATCCCTGGAACTGGAGTTTTGGAAGGTTGTTAGCTGCCATATGGGTGCTGGGAACAGAACCCAGGTCCTCTGCAAGAGCAGCCAGTGCTTTTAACTACTGAGCCCTATCCCCCTTTGTTTCTCTATAGCCCCAGCTGTAACTCACTGTGTAGACCAGGCTGGCCTTGATCTCACGGATATCCATCGTCCTTTGCTTCCCAAGTGCTGGGATTAAAGGCATCACACCTGGCTCAATCAGATTTCTTTTCTTCCTTTTTTTTTTTTTTTGGTAAACTTTAAAAAATTTTTTTTAATTTAATTTTATGTGTATGCATGTATTGCCTGAATGTAGGTAAGTGCACCTGTGTTGTGCAATGCCTGCGGAGGTCAGAAGAGTTGTTGGATCCCCTGGGACTGGAGTTACGGACAGTTGTTAGCTGCCATGTGGGTGCTGGGATTAGAACCTGGGTCTTCTGCAAGAACAACTAGTGTTCTTAACTGCTGAGCCATCTCTCCAGCCCCCTAATCAGATTTCTTTAGTGGATGAACTTAAATGAATCTTTGATCTCCATCCAAGAGTGAAATATTAAAGTTGAACTTCTGATTTTATAGTGCCAAGGGCCAGTCTCTGCACTACATATTGTCTGTCTCATCAAACACTCACTTTCCTTACTGAATAGTGGCTCTGACAGTATTTAATGACAGTCTTCCTTCTGACTTAAAGAAGGCTTTATTTTTAACAACTTAATCACATGACTCGTAATAAATATATGTTATTTGAGTGAATTAATGAATGAATTAATGATAGCCTGGTTTCCAGGAACCAGTTGTAATGAAAAGTCAGAGATTATCAGTACAAACTGATAATGTATTTATATTTAATTATATATATATTTATTGATGAGTTTCAAAAGATTCCTTGTAGCTACTCTGTTCGGTGTGGTAGCCACTGTGATGTGTTTCTTCAGTGTTTGTGGTGTACCCACCAAATGGAGATGTTCTGTTGAATGCTGAATGACTTTAAAAAACCAAGTGTGAAGGAAAGCATGTGATGTATCATTGTACCTTTTGTGAATTGATTGAATACAGAAGTTATATTTTAGATATGTTAGATTCAAAATCAAAAATAAAAAGAAAATAAAAAAGAAAAAAGATATGTTAGATTCAGTATACATAACTAGAATTAATTTAATTACATTCTTATTTTAATGTTACTAGAAAATTTAAAATTACATATGTGGGTTGCATTTGGGGCTCATACTAAATTTTTTATTGGTCAGTACTAGCCTGAAAG